CCGCCCACGACCCGCCGCAGCAGCGCCCCCGCCTCCGCCCCCCGCCGCCCCACAGCAGCAACCAGCACAGCGCCGGCGACGCCCCCGAGCAGATGGCCGGACGACGAAGAGGGCCCGCGCGCTGCTGCTGCACACGACACGCCTCCAGGAGTAGCGCGTCCGGATCATCTTCTGTACGGCGACTTTCATGAAACACGATCGCGCGGAAAACCTGCCGACTGAGTACAAATCCGCCGCGATCAAACGTGCCTACCTGGCTTCATGTCTCCTGCCGCCAATCGAACTGGGCTCTAAGGAACATGCCGCCTTTCCGTCGTAGGCGCGTTTCCGCGCCGTATGTGGAGCCTTAAAGAGGCAGCTTTTCGCCGTCGAATTATGTATATTCCATTAGTGAAATGAATATCGTGGAAGGATGGCAACGACTAGGTTCTCACAGCATCAACCGAATGACACAAACACTGCATGATACCTCGTGACTATAGCTTGTTCGCGGAACTCACCAATGAATTAAGAAAGACAGTGCGCGTCCTCTGATGGTCATTATCGCGACAAGAAAATGTCGATTGCGCAGATCCCTCTCAATGTATCTCACCCTACGAGGAACACCGGGTCTAATGCGGAAAACATCCGAACTTGATCCGGTCTCATGTGTAGTTAGTGTATGGTGATGTAGCATTAATGGTAGGAACAAGGGAAAAGAAAATCGCGTACGTCCATGTCCCATTTGGAGAGTACTTGCCCGGCATTCGCTGTTATTAATGGGGAAAAACCAACGGGGAAAATTATCTATCACAATAGCTTTCCTCAAGAGTCTCTCCTCCATCAGCGCCGCCAAATCACCTCAACTACTAGCTACTGCCTAAAATCCTTCCTCGGGATTTGACCCATCCCCTGTCGAGTTGCAGTGAAGACAGCCCAACGCTCGTTGACCAGACCAAAGGTGGCGCTCTCGCACATACGCGAGGATTAACTGGTCTCTGGAACGAAACTTCGTCCCCAATTGACCAATCAATCAGCGAGTCGCGCCCCTTTAGTTAAAACCCATATTTTACTTTTTGTGCTTGCAAATGCTTACAATTTCGAAATTTTCAAAATTGCTACACAGTTAATTAATTGTTTGTTGAAATTGGGAAAGAGCTTAAGTCGCATGATCTCATGTTCGTTTAAAATCCTGATTTTCGAAAAGTGGACAAAAGGTTAAATTTTCTCGGTAGTCTCCCTTGTCACTAAAAGTATTAAATATAGAACTTTGTACTTAAAGAAAAATCTGTTCCTTAAAGATACCTTTGAAAAATAAATTTCATAATAATTTTTTCGAAATGAAGTTACTTTTTTGCGTAATTTGCTTGAAAAATCGGAAGGAGAAAGTACGTGGTTTTATGCACCACTAGTAGTGAGTAGGGCTAAACTACCTGATGTTCATTACTCCTAAGTGTAGTCCCGAAGTCTAGTACTGCTTACACACTAGGTTTTGAACTTACATGTCTTAAGTGTCGTAAGTGTTTGTTGTGGTTGTAAGGGAGGGAAAAAGGGGGGGGAAATTCTTCTTTTCCCACCCTCCCTCTCCCTCCTTCTCCCTCTCTCCCTCCCTCTCTCCCTCTCTCCTCCTATCTCTCTCTCCTTCCCTCTTTCCCTCCCTTTTCCCCTTCCTCTTTCCCTCTCACACCCCCCTCACACACGCACTGTTTTACCAGGCACCAACAGGTAGTCAGTGCATCATGTTTCGTACTTCCTTCTCCCTGCCACAGCAACGACCAGTCAGTGCACTTGACTCTTCTTACTCTCTCTCCCTACCTCTCTCGTTTGCTCACTCACTCACACATACCATTACTCTCACACTCTGTCACTCTCTCTCTTTCTCTCTCTCTTTCTCTCTCTCTTTCTCTCTCTCTTTCTCTCTCTCTTTCTCT